TAAGTCATTACCAAGTACTAAGTCATGTTTTGCAGAAGGGTCAAATACTTATTTCCCTCATTAAAATGCAAATCAATTTATAAAATTTTTGACATGCGTATTTCTGGATTTTTTTTGTTGTTATTTTGTCTCTCACTGTTCAAATAAACCTACCATTAAAATTATAGACTGATCATGGCAAACGTACAAAATCAGCAGGGGATCAAATACTTTTTCCCCCCACTGTAAATATATATATTATGTACAGTGGTGTGAAAAAGTGTTTGCCCCCTTCCTCATTTCCTGTTCCTTTGGATGTTTGTCACACTTAAGTGTTTCGGAACATCAAACCAATTTAAACAATAGTCAAGGACAACACAAGTAAACACAAAATGCAATTTGTAAGTGAAGGTGTTTATTATTAAAGGTGAAAAAAAATCCAAACCATCATGGCCCTGTGTGAAAAAGTGATTGCCCCCCTTGATAAAACATACTATAACTGTGGTTGTCCACACCTGAGTTCAATTTCTCTAGCCACACCCAGGCCTGATTATTGCCACACCTGTTCACAATCAAGGCATCACTTAAATAGGAGCTGCTTGACACAGTAAGGTCCACCAGAAGATCCTTAAAAGCTACACATCATGCCGAGACCCAAAGAACTTCAGGAACAATTGAGAAAGAAAGTAATTGAGATCTATCAGTCTGGAAAGGGTTATAAAGCCATTTCCAAAGCTTTGGGAATCCAGCGAACCACAGTGAGAGCCATTATCCACAAATGGCGAAGACATGGAACAGTGGTGAACCTTCCCAGGAGTGGCCGGCCGCCCAAAATTACCCCAAGAGTGCAGCGACGACTCATCCAAGAGGTCACAAAAGACCCCACAACAAGGTCCAAAGAACTGCAGGCCTCACTTGCCTCAGTTAAGGTCAGCGTTCATGCCTCCACCATCAGGAAAAGACTGGGCAAAAATGGCCTGCATGGCAGAGTTCCAAGGAGAAAACCACTGCTGAGCAAAAGAACATCAAAGCTCGTCTCAATTTCTCCACAACACATCTTGATGATCCCCAAGACTTTTGGGACAACATTCTGTGGACCGGTGAGACAAAAGTGGAACTCTTTGGAAGGTGTGTGTCCAAGTATATCTGGCGTAGAAGGAACACTGCATTTCACAAAAAAGAACATTATACCAACAGTAAAATATGGTGGTGGTAGTGTGATGGTCTGGGGCTTTTTGCTGCTTCAGGACCTGGAAGATTTGCCGTGATAAAAGGAACTATGAATTCTGCTGTCTACCAAGAGATCCTGAAGGAGAATGTCCGAATATCTGTTCGTGTACTCAAGCTGAAACGAACTTGGGTTCTGCAGCAGGACAATGGTCCTAAACACACCAGCAAGTCCACCACCGAATGGCTGAAGAAAAACAAAATGAAGACTTTGGAGTGGCCTAGCCAAAGTCCTGACCTGAATCCTATTGAGATGTTGTGGTATGACCTTAAAAAGGCCGTTCATGTTCGAAAACCCTCTAATGTAACTGAATTAGGACAATTCTGCAAAGATGAGTGGGCCAAAATTCCTCCAGGACGCTGTAAAAGCCTCATTGCACGTTTTTTTAATTGCTTGGTTGCAGTTGTTGCTGCTAAGGGTGGCCCAACCAGTTATTAGGTTTAGGGGGCAATCACTTTTTCACACAGGGCCATGATGGTTTGGATTTTTTTCACCTTTAATAATAAACACCTTCATTTACAAATTGCATTTTGTGTTTACTTGTGTTGTCCTTGACTATTGTTTAAATTGGTTTGATGTTCCGAAACACTTAAGTGTGACAAACATGCAAAGGAACAGGAAATGAGGAAGGGGGCAAACACTTTTTCACACCACTGTATGTAAATAAAAGGTATGCATCCAAACTGAACCTGTAACACTCCAAATAAAATTTGTTCCAAATAACAAATAAATTTAGAGACATCTAAAATTAATGAAAAAAACCCCACTTAAAATAACACAACAAAATTTGTTATGGTTTTTATATCTCAGCTGCTCCCACAACAGAAGCAACCTGGAAAATCTGGATTTTTGCAGATAACCGATTGTTCCAGCAGTTGGTTATCTGTTCCGATTAATCGCTCATTCTCTAATAATTAATGCTGTTGATTTTACCGTTAGCGTTCCCCATCAATATGAATGCATTGTGACAACTGTGACAATCACATGAATTTGAGTACTGACCGGCAGATGACAGCACGTTCGAGATGACAATACATGAGAGAAAAGTCACTTAAATGCAGATAACATTAATGCTTTTCAGCCAGTGATTGAGCTTGTGCTGTGTTCATTGTAGCTCTGTGCAACACCACAGTAGAAAATAATGTTCTCAGAGTTTTTCACGTTGTTCAGTCATTTGCTCTGTCGTATCATATTCTTTGTGGTTTAAGTATCATGTTTTTGTTTATTTTTCTTTCTTTATTTATTTATACCCCTAAATGTCATATGATCCATTAGTGTACACAGCTCTACTGAGAGAACGTGCTCGTTAATCTACAGTTCCATTTATATTGACCTTATATTGATTTCCTGTTTCTTTTAGGGCCACCTACTGGTCAAGCAGCATAAATAGATTTTTGTGCTGCCAGTGTACCCCGCAGGACACAGGACTAAGTCTTGTTTTGTATCTCTGTTGTTGACTTTGTGAATTGTTTTAGCATATGGAAATCCCTTTTAAATCTTCATGGGTGACTGGAATTGGAAGAGGGGGAAAAGTCTGACCATTGGACATAACTAAATAGTCCTACTATTGATCAGATGCACGTCTGAACAGTGAGGAGACGCCTAAAGTAATTCTAACCATCAGTGCTTTCGCTCGAACTTTCATAGACCCACCCTAGTGCCAGTTATTGTGTTCAGGAAATTTTTCCCCCGTGATGCCACAAATGTTTATTTCACTATAGCGAAATTAAATACGAAGGTGAGAAACCCAATTTTGTTTTTATTTCACATTGTTGATTGCAAATAGGTGTGACAAAATTTGTCATGATCTTCATTTTACTCATTGCGAGTGTTCCAGTGCTGCCCAAGAGTCCGTTTCGTTCTGGAAAATACATTTGAATCACTTCTAACATATGTCGCACTTTTAAGGTTTTCATTTGACTCACCCTCGTACAGGGAACAAAATCAAGACGGTTGGCAAAACATGAAAACACCCGAAGTATGGGGACACGGTATCGTTCAGAGTAGTCTATGAAAATGTGTTCGCCTGGTACAACGCTAGAGCATGGCTGAAACAGAAACGCCTCTGTAAAGTGTTAATTTAAGACATAAATAACATGGTAAACGATCACACCTGCGGTTTAACGTTCCAAAGATAAGCTAGCTAACATAAAAAAATATGTATTCGAACACGCACGCATACTGCGTTGCACTTCTCCGTGTTTAACACCTGTCTCTATTGCGAACATGCTTATTTGAAAATAACCTTTCCAAAAATGTAATAATTAGTCATGGCACTTGAAAGAAGGAAGTAGTGCCATGACCCACTACACAGAGAAAACGAATCCCTGAGGTAAAAACTGTTCCGACGTTCAACAGAACGCGTTCATGATTACAGACCTTCCCAGTGTATAGCCGCTATTACGTTATTAGCACTCTGCTCTTCAGCTTTACGAAGAGGTCAAGGTGCTGACTGGGCAGACGCTTTGTCGAGTTTGTGCCGCTCAAGTTGCTTTCTGCGTCTCGTCGATCTGAGTCGAATACGCACGTAACATTGTAGCCTAGACAAGTAGGTTAAACAACCAGCGAATGGACTCGACTTCCTATTGACTTTTTCAAACATTCTTTGGCATGTATAAATCGTAAACGCAATGTATTGGTGTGACGCTTGTATGCTGTGACTATGGTCTGGCACAACAAACCGGTGTTCCAGGTAGGGGTTACGCCACTTGAAATGAGATTTGGTGCCGGTTGCTCTAATCATAGCTCGCCTCTTGCACATGTAGGCAGCTGCAGAATTATAAAATATAGAATTTAACTGAATAATGGCTGCTAAGAATGACAACAAAGCCAGCAAAGCTTGTGGTTCAGTCTCCAGGTTATCATGTATATGATCAAGGTAGCGTAATGGTAATATGGTAGGGGCTTGACGAATTAGGGAAGGACACGCAATGATCCAGAAGACCCAATCAAGGGGCGAATGTGGGTAGCCGTGACTCCATTTTCAAAAGTATTCGTTTTGGTCTGTTTACAGTGAAACGCGAGCCCGGGATTTTCAAACTAAAACGGGGTCTTGGGTGTTTCCAAAAGTCTCTGTTTTTGACAGTCGAAAACGTCGGAGTAGTGTAGATGTTGCGCGTAACCGTAGCAAAAGTTTACTAGTGTAAACAGGGCCTGAGCTACAAAGTATTCCAAATCCCAACGCACCTGCAGAGGTGCGATCTGGCTGACGGTAGAACTGATCATTACTAGGTGGATTAATTTGCATGCACGGATGATGGATGACCTTTTCTGTGGAAACATTGTGCTGGACTATATTTTGCTTGGGTGTAGTCAAAGTTGTCATGTAACTCTCCTGCCAGCACACTATGTCCAATACTTTTAAAGAAGCTAATCCATCTCGAGCAATATTTTTACTTAGGATGTGAGCAGAGAACACTGCAACGTAGAGATGAAGCGTTCAAGGTCACGAGCATGACCCGATGTCATATCAAACTTAATCAGGAGAGGATAAGGTTTATGGCCAGTAGTGCACAAACTCCATACATCCATCCATCCATCTTCTACTGCTTACTCCTTCTTCAGGGTCGCGGGGAACCTGGAGCTTATCCCAGGGAGCATCGGACACAAGGCGGGGTACACCCTGGACAGGGTGCCAGTCCATCGCAGGGAACAATCACATACATACATTCATACACTACGGACACTTTTAGACATGCCAATCAGCCTACAATGCATGTTGACTGGGGGAGGAAACCAGAGTACCTGGAGGAGAACATGCAAACTCGGCACACACAGTCCGGGAATCGAACCCCGGACCCTGGAGGGAATCGAACCCCGGACCCTGGAGGTGTGAGGTGAACGTGCTGACCACTATGCTTAAGCACCCCATTTCAAGCACTTGTTTGTCTTTATTAATGCACTTACTTTAGCTCCCCACAATAACTGCTTGTGCAACTGTTTTGTGCACTATATAATAATAAAAAAAAATGTATGGACACCCGACCATTACACCCATGTGTTTCATCCCCAAACTTTTGGATGTCTTTGTATGCTGTAGCATTACAGTTTCCCTACAGAAGTGGCCCAAACCTGTTCCCGCATATCAAGATCCATAAGCCAAGGCCTGCACAGAGCCCTGACCTCAACCCCACTGAACACTTTTGGGAAAAAATCGAGTGCAGACTCCATGCCAGGTTTGACCTGAATAACGCTCTTAGGGCTGAATGAGGAAATTCCCACCGTCACACTCCAAAATCTAGTGGAAAGCCTTCCCAGAAGAGTGGCGTTATTATAACAATAGAATATTGGGGTGTGCTTATCAGGTGTCCACACAGTGGACCTCGCCATAGTGTATTTGCCATGAGCTATCTCAAAAACTTTGTATTGTGCACTGTTAATGTTTGAAAGGCATCAGCTGGGCCTTTCATGTTTCCTGAGGGGTTTATCGTTTGCTTTGAGTTAACACCTTGTTGTCTACGCCACTGTCGATTCTGAGCTGAAGCCTAATTGTAGATAACTGGCCTCTTACCAGTTTACTTCTAATGTCAGGACTTGGCTGTTTCATGCTATGCGTTTTATTAGTTCAACCTTTAAATGCCCTGAGAGACGTGAGTGTAACGACTAAGGCCTTTTGTAAAGGATGTTTGTGTGGTAGTAGGTAGTAAATAGGGAAAGCTTGTGAAAGTGCTTCTAAAGTCACCAGGGCGCTACAACCGCAAGTCCGTGAACGTGTGCTGTTTTAGCTGCTTTGTGTATAAAACAGTCCTGTTCGTCATGCTAGATCGGTTCTTCTTTACATGACTTCATCTTTTACCTGTAACATAAAGATATTGTAGAACACTTCTGAACTCGGCCATATTTAAAATGGAAAGTCTGAGCGTCAGTTCATGTCGTTCTTTGCTGATGCTCAGACACAGCTGTTTTATTTTCGCTCTTGGCACCGTCCTGTCCTCTGCCTTTGTTCGTTTTCATGTGTGAGTTAGAGAGAGAGGATTTTGGGTTCCCAGAGGTTGGATGGTGCGTCAGCTTTACTCTTCATAAATGACATTGAAGCAATGGCTACATAATGCCTCTCAGATGGAGAAGCTGTAGATTTCTACCTCTGAGCACTACCGTTGCTAATCGCTGGGCTCCCGGGGGGTTGCTGCACTCTTGTTTGTGTTGTAGCACTGGCATTTTTGGCTTTGTGCCCAGGGAGAATCCACCCACCCCACCCCCCCCCTCCACCACCATTCCCTTCCATCTCCTCCATCTTGTGTGCTTGCACCGTGCTCCTCGTCTTCTCGCTTCTCGCCACCTCTTGCCTGCCTCTACAGTTTAGTTACAATAATGGTCCATACAGCTGCCGAATGCGACAATCAAGTAAAAAGTACTTTTGCTGTTAATGTCATTTGTAATGATTGTGGCCATTACAGTTACAGATTAATTGTAAAGCTATAGAAGCTGTGCTCATGTAAATCGCTTTGATATTGCTTCCTGAGTACACATGGGCTGCAAAATTAATTAATCAGGATATTAGCTTCTGTAGTTATTTAATTGTGAAAGACTGTATTTAACGTGTGTGTGTATATAGTGGCATCCTGCTGTAACACAATCAAGAGCTGCATGTTCCAGAGTGTTAAATAAATATGAAAAATGCAACAATACCTAAAAATAATAAATTGCTTTGCACAGCTCCTGCCCAAGTTCTCATGGATTGCTATGTTAAACAAAGTACCAAGATCCAGTAGTCATTTGCTGTTTTATTAAAGGACTGGGTTTTGGAAGTACTGTAAAACCTAGATGGCCTAATTTAAGAAAAATATTTTTAAGGATTTTCAGATTGTCATATATCTGGGTTCAGGACGAAGGTTTTCAATCGCCAAAGTCATCACATTGCCTGGTAATAGTAGACCTCTGGACTTGTGATATAATTTGCTACTGGACCAATTAATAAGTAAGGAATAAACCCTGACGGGGGCGTGCTGTCATGGGAAACGAATCAACAATGGGGTGGAGTGATGCGGCCAAGACGGTTACTTTTACCACCCCAAAACTTGTTATTTTCCAATAACAGCACACATGTCATGTTTTATTCCTTTTATACCACAACAATTGGCAAACAATTTAAAAATGAATTTTAATAAAGGAACATGTTGGACTTTTTATTGGCTTATAATTACACACTCACTGTTGTGGAGCATCCATGACTCAAGTTAGTTGTTGTTGTTCTCACTTTATATGACATTATAATTAACAGCTCTAAATGTATGTTCCCTCACCCAGCCTTTTTCTTTTTCTTGTTGCCAAGAAACAGCAAAAAAGCCTGAAATGTCCCAATGACATTCCTGTGTCATAAAACTTGCTGACTGTTGCAAAGAGCCGACACTGGAGACTCTTACCATAAATAAATGTCTCCTCACTGAAAGCATCACCATTTCAACAATTGTACATTATTAAATAAAAGAGCACATTTTAAAATCGATTTATTATTAAATTTGGATTATGCGAAGGGTCGGTCATACACATCCCATTTGAATGAGTCGTTACTATAGAAACAATACTATTCGAACCAGAGTGTCAAAAAAAAAACATAAACCTGCTATTTGAATTACAGTCGGCACTATTGTCAGAGCTGCTGTTATAGAAAATTAATCAACACCTTCTGAGCAGTCAGAATTGAGAATTTACCAGAATGCAAATGTACAATTTGTGCATACATCATTTAGCGATCGTAGAAATGAACTCATAATTCAATAAAAATCCGCAAACAGGAGCTTGCGATTTTTCAGAATTTCCACAGATTTGGGCCGAAACACGTCGTGTGACATCATCATCGTGCGCGTTCAGCCAAAGCCCTCTTCGATTCACGTGGGGCGATCATGAGTACAGCCAAAAGGTCTTATTTACCAACAAACATCACTGCGAAAGACAGCGCAAAACAATTTTGTGCGATTGCGATTTCAACAATTCAAGTAGTTTTCCGCAAAAACAAAAGCCTCACTGCAAATTTCGAAGAAAAAACCTCCAGTAAATTCGACCGTTTTTGGCTACAACCATCGCACAAATCCTGTATGGACTGGTATATGCATATGTACTTAAGTACCTGAGAAACTGTTAGTGCAAAAGTAACAGTAATGGTTCAGGGCCTGTATCCCTCTAGGAAAAAAAGAGCTTCAATTCTAATTTATGCACTTGTAATTTTTGATTCCCCCATGTATAAGGGTGGTGGAGTACAGTCTGATGTCTGCTGGAGAAAATGGACCTTCGAAAGCACTGAAGTAAGACGAGCCTGCTGCTCAGTGGCCTTCTCTAAGAGTGTAGGAGTGGTCGCTCTTTTATTAGGGTACCAAGTGCTGAAGCAGCGGCATCATTACAAAGTCTGGACACAGTGGAGTTGGAGGTGAACCCTGGCCTGCTGGCCTGACCCTGGCATTACAAAAACTGTGTCCAGTCTTTGTAATGATGCAGCTGCCTCAGCACTCAGTACCATAAAAGCCTCAGCCTCCTCAGAGAACAGATTTATCTCCGGCTTTCAGGCTGTCCATCTATCCCGACTTAGCACTGAGGCGAACACAGGTATTTGTGGTTCGTATCACTTCAGTTATGTCTTTGCCTCGAAGGCAAAGGACTCGAAGGACTTTTAGTGATCTAATCAGTAGTAAACTGCTTGCAAAACCGCCGCACATTTTGTGTAGTTGCTGTGCATTTTAACACCGGAGTACGCTACTACAACTTCTCGTTCAGAATAACAGCAATCACCAATCGACATATGAATCTGGAATAGTTGACAGTTGCGTAGGTGTTTTGAACAGTCCACTATTAACGGACTTCCTGGAAGCCCCACCCCCATCCCCTGTCTCATATAAATAATGTTTTTTCTGGTGTATGCTTGCTAAGTATATAGCTGACATCAGTTTAAAAATGCCAGTCTTTTGACAGAAGAAGATTAAATATGCCTTTGGTTGATTGTTGGTAACCTGTTGTTTATTATGGTTAGGCTGAAACTGGAGTGGCCATTTATACACAGCATTTTATGGTAACTACCAGGTGCTCGGGGCAAAAAAACTGTAAGATGTAGACACTAGGACGTTTTCTATTTCAGTTTGCAGTGATGCGTGTTTCCACTCCAACATGCTTTCCCAAGATTTCAGACGTACTCGTTCATCAAACTCTTTCATGCATTCCTTCATGCTTTCATTTTCATTTAATACGAAAGTGTTCCGTTTTTGCGAGCACACTTTAATTACGTGTACACGTTCACATTCTTCAGTGATTTGTACACACTGTAACACAGTGAAGTTTTAATTGTAAAATGAAAACTTTTTTTGTGCAAGGGGTTTAGTCATCATTAAACATGAATCGGATTATCTTGCACCAGCGCACACACACACAGACACAAAAATAAATATTGAAATAAATTGACTAAACATCGCACCAGTTTATACTTTACTTACCACAAGTGTCCTGAATTTACTGTTAACCTCTTCAGATATGGCTTGTACACCATGTTTCAGGATGATTCATCTCATCACTTACATTTATTGCCCTAGTAGACGCAAACATAAGTGTTCTCTGTAGGGGATATTGGAACAATTGAATTTCCCCCATGGAGTCAGTTTGTCTTATCTGGACTTATCGTAGACTTTCCCATGATTGAAATGAGTTGATGGAGAGATATAATCTAGAGTTATGTCATGATTTCTTCATCTCTGCAGCTGAAATGCGCAGCATGAGAGAGAGTACATATTGAGTAAAAATGTTTTACACGTGCTTGTTGCCTGTTTTTGTTTGGTTTTATTTCAGGTTTCTCGTCAAACAAACCTCTTGTTTTTCCCTGCAGGATGTTTTTCCCAGTTATCTTGTGCACAAGAACAGGGACCATAGTGCCTCTTAATGAAAATATAA